AATCCTTCGTCAGTGACAGGCTCTATGTTAAGAAATCACTCTTCGTGAATTACCTCTTGTAAGTCCTCATAACCACGATAAAGGTTTATTCTGGTTTTTCAGATTATAGTTAAGGACTAGAAAGTACTCAAGGAATTCCAAAATTCAAAAAGAGAATATGTTCAAACTAACGTTTCTCTGATTTATAGGAAGTGTCTACATAATGTTACCTTCAGATTCTTTTACTTTTATTTCTTCACTCTAGTCTGCAAACTTTCAAAAAATGTGTTTTGGACTAAAATCTTTCCTTTTCCCCCCCTAAAACAAAAGGGAAATACTTTCTCTTTTCAGAAAATGGAAGAATAACCAAACTAACAAAGTTACTACAAATTCAGCATAGCATAACTTTATATATCTAAGCCCTATTAAGTCATATCTTTGGTTCTTTGAGACATTTTTAGAATATGGGAAAAGAAACAGAAATCAAGAGAGAACAGGACTAGAATGTGAACCAAAACAAAGTCAGAAGACAAAGTACTAGACTGACATGGGGTGGGAACAAGCAGACAGATGTAGCTGAACCATATTTAGAAGTGGGGGAAAAAATCATCTCTCATTTACCAGGACAAGATGACAAATGAGTCTTATCTCATGTGTGAACCCCAGCTGATTGATAGTAGCTGCCTGGAGGGTAGAGCCTGAAAGGGATTCTAAGGCCCTCCTTGCGGGCAGCCACAAACTATTAGGAAGATTTTGACATGTCTAATTTGAGCATAAAATAGGGAATGGCAACATATATCCTATGGAAACAAAGAAGAAATGGAGACTAGTAGTAACTAAGCACTTGCTTTGCATCAGGTACTTTATACACATTCTCTTACTAAATTCTCATAGATCCAACGACGTTAACACTATAATCTACATTTTATAGATGAGGAATATCATTCATTGAGTGACACTTCGTAAAAGTGGGAGAGAAACAAGGATTTTATGATAGAGGGAAGGGAAAGTGTGTGCAAATGACCAGTCCTGCAGATGAACAGTTTGTGAACTGACTGCTGTCATTCAGGAAGAACCTATGTACACTAATGTCTTCATACCCCATTGCTTCCAGTGTTTCCAATGCTTCTTATATGTAAGTATCATAGATATTCAACAGTCTAAATTGCCTCATTCTTCAATATGTGCCATTGTGCTAATTATAACTTCTTTATCAATGAATAATTTTTCCCTTTGGAAATTATTTTACAGTTGGAAAGAAACCTAATTCAAACAATGATTACTACTCCTAGACCACCGAGATTATTTTAGAACAATGGAAAGGAAAGCATATGAGCCCAGAGCACAGAATTCATCAGTAGTCTCAGCCACTGAGATACTCTGCTACTGATAACTGGATCTGCATCTTGAGTTAGCCACTCCCCCCTTTTAGGCCTCAGTTTTCCCACAAGGGGTTGGACCACTCCTTCTAAGGTCTATATGGACTCCCGAGTGCTGTGGTTTCTACAAGTTCAAATGCAACTCTTACTAGAAAGAGTCAGAGAGGCTTTACTGTAAATAATAAACAATATTGCCTGGGAATAAAGAACATGTATTTTATCTGTACCTTTTTTTAAGACGTATATGGCATCTTCCAGGTGAATGTCCTTGCTGTACACACAAACTCAGGGAGAATCACTCATTCACTCCATGTTAATGTACAGACTAGTGGCTTTGAGTAAGGCATTATGTAGGTATGAGAGGAATCTAAAGTTGTAAATCAAGTATAAATGTGCTCTAAACTTAGGAATAATGAGGTACCTAAGTAACTAAAACATGGATCAGAAAGTAAAAAAGAATCACAGGAGTTATACAGATAAATTGATATGGGGGATAAAAGGAAGGGTAAATGCCTTTTGTGGGGCTACAGACAGTAAGAAAAGTTTCTATGGATAGAGCCTTGCGAGCAGGCCTTCAGAAATAAAGAACACTTGGCCACATAGGGAAGAGTGAGAAGAGGAAGGCCATCCAGGCAGATGATCCACTGTGAGCAACGGCAAGAAGGAGGGCAAGTGCAGAACAAGAATGGAGAAAAGTAGAATATTCACTGCGGCTGGGCTGAAAGGTCCCTGCCAGCAAATAGTGGTCAATGATAGTGGAAAATAGTACAGCATCTGCAGTGACAAATAGAGGAGTTAAAGACTTTATTTTCTAAGTCAAATCTTTTTGAGCAGGAGAGTAAAAATTTCTGTTATCTGCTAGATCTTTATGGCAGCAGAATATAAGGTGAACTGGACTGAGAAATTCCGGGAGATGAGGAGGTCAGTCAGGATTACTTCAGGGTCCAACCAAGAACTAACAAGTGCCCAGATTAATATCATTACAGGGAGAATGGGAGAGGGCACCCACAAAAACTAATAATAATCATAACAGCTCACATCTTTTGGGTGTTTACTGTGCACCTTGAACTGTTCTAAGTAAACTCATCTAATCCTCACAACAGTGCTTTGAGCTAAGTTCTACTGTTTCAGGTTAAGAGATACAGACACTGAGGCACAGACGGTTAAAAACTGCCTAAGGACAGCCATTAAGGAACCTAACCTCTGGTTCCATAACCCTGTTTCTTAACCATTCTGGCACACCGTAGAAGTGAGGGTGACATGGCAGGGTCACTGAGGCATGATGACAGGAAGGAGGAGAAAAGATCAGAGTTGATGCTGAGACTCCAAGGCTGGCTGCTGGGAAGGTAGAGGAGCAGTTGTCAAAGGATGGAGGAGGAAAGAGGCAGGCATGTTTGAAAGAAAGATAGTGAGTTTAGGGCATGTTGCTTTGTACTGGCTGCCATGAATGAAGGTAAATACCAACAATAACAAATAGAGGCCAGGAATGTGAGTGAGTGTTGGGGCCAAGGATACAGACTCATGAGGGTGAAAGTTGATGCCATGACACTCTCCAAGCAGAGAGTGTGGTGAGGGAAGCCTTCGCGCAGGTGCTAAGGGAGCATTTAATTAGAAAAGAAGAGGAACTGAACAGAAGGGGTTCAAATCCAACAATGCCCACAGAGAAAGGGAGTAAGACTGGAGAGCACATGCTATGGAAACTAAAGAAAAAATGGCTCCAACTGGGAACACAAAAAGATGTCAATGGAATTAGGGAGCATCTAGGAAGGCCCTTTCCAGTGAGTTTGATATTTAATAGGATCCCAAAGAAGCAATGTCATTTCCACAGAAACTTAACCCACGATCAAGGACACAGAGAAAATCTATTTTATCATTGAATGCAACTCAGGCTAAAGAGGCAAAATGAGCAAATCATTACCAAGATACTCTTTTTTTCAGGGAGCCTATGTTTGTATATGTGAAAAATAAAATAATTAGATAAATAAAATATGTGCTAAGTAAAATAAGCATTCCCAATTTATCTGTGGCATTTGCTCCACTCTTTGGCAATGCATTCTAAATAATCAATTTCATCAACCAAATGTAATCCCATGACCTCATTGGGCTACATAAAGCTGTGGACCTCTCAGCCCCACCCGCCACTGCAAGTGCTATTGGACCTCAAATAAGATTTGTGAGAAATTCATTTTTGAATTTAGTCAGGGACAGGAGCCCCCATCCCCAACCCCATTGCCTGATGGCTACTTATGCTATGGGAAGATGTATAGCTTTATGCCAAGTAAACCAAGGGTAACTGTCAATAACTGTCCCCTCCCAAGTTTTCCCTAACAAGCCAAGCTGACTCAGTCTGTCCTCTCAGTTCTCAGCCTCAAGACCCGACTTAAACTAAACCAGTGATTAGAAATGATGTGTCCTCACAGAAGGACAGAGTACAGTACTCTATTTTAAAGGAACGTTGAACTACATGGACACTCCAATTTTCCCTAATTCTCAAAACCCTGACATTTGCAAGAATTGGCAGTGACCACCCTGTAACAACCCATCTATATTCCATGTTTATGCTGCTACTGCATCATTTTTTTTTATTTCATTGGTTTTTTGTTTGTTTGTGTGCAGTGTCAGTAATGATTCTTATGAACACAATGACATAAGCAACATAAAATGCTGGAAGGAAGGAGAAATGTCAGTGATTAAAAGCCAAAGAGATTCATATTTAGAAAAATGAAATAAATGCCAGTTACAGAATTCCAAAGAATAGGCCTTTGCCTGGGCAGCAGCCCACCTCAGGTTCAATGTCTCTGTCCCCCCACAATGTTCTTCTGCCTGTCTTCTGGCAGAATTCAACTCAGGGAAGAGTATAGCTGTCATTTGATAAAACACATTTAATTTCCAGTGAGGAAAATTAACTGTCTTCACAATACTGCTCTTGATGTAAATACGTTGTATATTTAACTCTAAACCATCTACTAATTTGCTTTAAATTGGCCTAATAATAATTATTGCTTAAAGTTATGGCAGTAAAACAGCCTCTGCTTTTTGAAAAGCTAATTTTGACAGCAGGTGCTTTTTATGCCACTGTAATCTTTCCTAGAAAGATCATTATCACTTAATTATAAATGGCAGCTGCATTTAGGGTATTTTGGTTCACAATGATGATTTGATTGATTATTGGAGTTCCAAATCCACTATGTTAATGAGTCCAGTCTACTGGGATTTCCAAAAAGCGTTATCAAGATTCTCAGTATCAGCACACATTAGTTCACTCTGTCACAAACTGTCAGCCATGAGGTAATGTTTTATATAAAGGACAAAGACAACTATCTTTTCCTTTGTGGTCAAGAAATTTAAAAAATAAGCAAAACATTTGTGTGTGCTCTTTCAAATAATATGTTTCTTCAGCGTCTAACTCAACCATATATGCTTTGAAGAAAACCAATTTAGACGAAGTGTTTTGTTTGAAGGATATTATTATACTTAAAGAAGAATAGGAGTTTTCTAGAATTTAAGGGGGGAAATATGATGGTAATACATCTGAGACTTTTCATATTTTTAAAAAGTAATACCTATCTTCCTAGAAACCCAATTTTGATATTTTTTCCAAACAAATGATAAACATAAAAGTCAGCAGATGTGATTACTTACCCTTGAAACTGATGAAGCTTTAGGTCAATGACTATGTAGATATATGTCAATCTACATTTGTTTTCCATCGGAGAGAGAGAGAGAGAGAGATGTTGAATACATCAAATGCAGGGACGTTTTGTCCTCTTTAGGAGCCTAAACCAATAGAGAAAGAACATATAAAATTGCCTCTGTTCCCAAACTACTCCTTTTCTAACTTCACTGCCTCTGTCCCCCTGCTAATTTCTTAAAGACATGTAGCTGCATGATTTAGGCAAATCCCTAAACTTCTTCAGGCCAACACTGCCTAATCTATAAAATGATGCTGACAATATGACTAGATGTTGTGCAAACCAAATGGTACAACCTATGTTAAGCTCTTAGAAGAGTTACTTTCACATATGAAGCATTTAAATATTATAGGCGATTTTATGTTCGTTATTAAAGAACTGTATGTTTTTATTGAGTTTCTTCTTGGTGTCAGGCATTCTTCTGGGTAAAAGAATGAAACATAATCTTCTCTAAGCAGACTACAGTCTATGGCAGCATGGTTTTGCTTGGCCCCTAATCTAAGAATGAATTTTATATTTTCAAAGGGTTGTAAAGAAAAACAAAGAATAATATGCATCAAAGACCTATAGGGCCCTCCAACTTTAAAATATTTATTATCTGGCCCTTTACAGAATAAATTTTCCAAGGGCTGCTCTGGAAGAGTTCTCAGGCTAGTGAGATCAACTAGTGAGTACTACGGTAAGTGCTTCATAAGAAACAGAAATGTTCTGGTGAGGGAACATCAGACTAATAATCTTGCTGAGGACAATGGAGAGAAAGTCACAGAAGGTCTTATAGTAGAAGATATATTTGAACTAGGACATATGTATCGTAGAGTAGGTAAGGTCTGATCAGCCTCAGAAGGGAAAGGAGTATGCACAAAGAAAAAACAAGATCAAAACACTAGGATGGTATGTTCCAGGAACTGTGGTTAATTGAATGTGTTTGCTTATAGGGTGTCTATCTGTGTAGAAGGTAGGGTGAGGAAGGAGAAATTTAATGGCCTACAATGAATGTGGGAAGAGCCATAAAATGAAGGGCCTTAGATGTTCTACTATAGGTTACGAACTTTTATGCGAAAGTAAAAGTTTATCACAAAAGGTTTTTAAGTAGGAGAATAACAAAATCAGATTAGAGATTCAGAACAATAATTCAAGTAACAGTACAAAACCTAAACTATAAAAGAAACTCTGGCTTTGGGCCAAGATGCAATAAGAGGAACCAGATTTAACCTTCTGCTTAAAATAGCTAAAAAGAACTAGACAAAATACACAGAACAAGGTCTTCAGACATTGGCAAGAAACAGTGCCAGATACTGACTCCTGAAAGAGGGGGTAGAAATGAACTAAGCCTTGATTGCCCAGATTCCTTCATGGAGAGAGATTCAAAGCCTCAGCATAAGAGGGGGGAAAACATAGCACATAATGATGATAAAAATCAATCAACAGAAACAGACTGAGAAATAACAAAGATTACATAATTGTTAAACAAGTATCTTAAAGGTTATAACTATAATCCAAATGCCCAAATGTCAAAGTAGAGGAAATATGAGCATGTTAAGTAGAGATATAAAAGGTATTTTTAGAACACCTAAGACTCTTAGAGACAAAATATATATATATATATATATATACACACACACACAATGCCTAAAATGAAAAATAAACTGGATAGGATAACAGAATATTAGACAGTACTGAAAAAAGCATCAATGAACCCAAAAACATAGTAATAGAAACTATCCATAATGACACACACAGAGGAAACCCCTCCTGCTGCCCAAAAAGAAATGAGTATTAGTGGTCTGTGGGATGCATTGAGTCTCTGAAGAAAGAAAAAAGAGGTTGGACAGAAAACAATTATTTAAAAAAATTTTTTTAAGATTTTATTTATTTATTTGACAGAGAGAGACACAGTGAGAGAAGGAACACAAGCAGGGGGAATGGGAGAGGGAGAAGCAGACTTCCTGCCAAGCAGAGAGCCTGATGGGGGGCTTGATTCCCAGGACCCTGGGATCATGACCTGAGCCAAAGGCAGATGCTTAATGACTGAGCCACCCAGGTGCCCCAGAAAACAATTTTGAAGAAATATGGAAAAATATTTCAAAAATGCTTATACACAATAAACCCACAGATTCAAGGACATAAGTAAAACACAAGCACAAGAAACATGGATGTAGTGACACCAAGGTTCATCATAATCCAAATGGCTAAAAACTAGTGACAAATAGAAAGTCATAAAAGTGGGGTTGGGGGAGACATTACATACAGAGAAACAAGGACATGACAGCAGGATTTTCCTTGGAGATAATGTGAGGTAGAAGGCATTGAGTAACATCTTTGAAAGACTGAAAAAAAAAGACAACTGTCAATAAAGAATTTTATACCCAGGTAAAATATCTTTCCAAAACAAAGATTAAATACAGACTTATTTATAACATACGAAAGCAAAAGAATTCACAGCCAGCAGACCTGTACTAAAAAGTATATTAAAAGTAGGTCCTTCAGGTAGAAGGAAAGTAATACCTTATGGAAATCTGGATTACCAAAAGAATGAAGAGCACTGGAAATTATTTTTTTTTATTTTTAAAATTTATTTAAAATATAAGTGACTAAGGCAACAAGGGCTTATAACATATATAAAAGTAAAATGCATGAAATCAAGAACAAATTAGACATAGGAGGAGAATTCCCCAACCTGATAAAAGACAGCTATGCAAAACCTACAGCTAACATTATATTTAATATTCAAAGACTGGTATCACAAAAAAGGCAAAAATGTCCTCTCTTACTCCTTGTACTCAACATTGTACTAGAGCTTCTAGTAAAGGTAATAAAGCAAGATAAAGATGCAAAAGGAATCTTAATTGGAAACAAAAAAAGAATTATGGTGAGTGAAATAAGTCAGAAAAAGAATATTCTACTTATATCAAATTCTAGGGAATGCAAACTGATCTATAGCAATAGGAAACGGATGAATGATTATCTGAGAACAGAGTTATGTGGGGGAAGACAGTGAGGGACATATTACAAAGGAGCACATGGAACCTTCTGAGAATGAAGGTTATGTTCATTACTTTTATTGTGGTGATGGTTTGAAAACTCCTCAAACTGTATACTTCAAATATATGTGGTTTATTGTCAGTGAGTTATATAGCTCACTAAGTCTGAAAAAAATGATGATGATTAGGATTGAGGTGCAAAGGCAGAGATTTGTCTAGGAGAGAGGAGCAAGAGAAAAGAGGAGAAATAATTGAGACCAGAGTTAGAAAGGTGACGTCAGGGGTGCCTGGGTGGCTCAGTCAGTCAAGCATCCAACTCTTGGTTTCGGCGCAGGTCATGATCTCAGGGTCATGAGATGGAGCCCTGAGTCGGGCTCCATGCTCAGTGAGGAGTCTGCTGGAGATCCTCTCTCTCCCTCTCCCTCTGACCCTCCCTGCCACTCTCTCTCTCAACTAAATAAATCTTAAAAAAAAAAGAAAAGTGACTTTAGGAATGAAGAAAATAATAAATACAAGGTTTCCTTCTGAGGTTGAATGAACAAATTTGCAGTGGGGTATATGGTGTGACTATCAACAGCATTAAGGAATGGAGGAGAAGTGTCTGACTGAAGGGGAAAGAGAATGATTTGAGTTCTAAACATGTCCTATGGGACATCTAATTACAAAGTGAAGAAATAGTTGCATATATAGTGTTTAATTTCAGGACAGAGATCTTGGTTGCAGATCCAGATTTTGGAATCCTAAGCAATATGGTAGAAAACTGAGGCAAGGGGAGCAGGTGCAAATGCCTAGGGGAAGTCCTTAGATCAAGAAAGAAAAAGAGGAAGTGGAGCCATGAGAATTATCAGTACTAAGGAATGGACAGTAGGCTTTGTTCTCTAAGAGTCTCCATCTTTTTATCATCTCATACTCTACTTTCAATTTTCCATTCAGGGCAGATAAAAATAAATCAGCACAATCCCCAGCAACCAGAGATTCACTTCTCTCCAAGAACTGACATTTATAATTTCAACTCCATCTTGGATCAAATCAAGAACTATTTCATCAGGTTCTCAAGTATATTTACACACTTTGTATTTATACAAAATACATACCTAACTCTTTTCAGGGTACACATCATCCCTACATTTTGCTGTGCTTGGTAAGAGACAGTAGAGAACTGGGACAGACAGGAATGCAAGGAAGACTGGAACAAGTCTTGGAAGATCAAGCTCCTTCATCCTGGTAAATGTATCTCTATTGCCCATGACAGTGTACTGTAATGAGTTTTTAATCAATATAAAAAATTCATTATGCTTAATTCTCCTTAAGATAACAGAAAAAGGGAGCCTGGGTGGCTCAGTCGACTGAGCAACTGCCCTTGGCTCAGGTCATGATCCTGGAGTCCCAGGATCAAGTCCCATGTTGGGTTCCCCGCTCAACGAGGAGTCTGTTTCTCCCTCTGATCCTCCCCCCCTTATGCTCTTTCTCTCTCAGATAAATAAATAAAATCTTAAAAAAAAATTTAACAGAAAAAGAACTTTCTACTCTAAATTCCTCTGTGCTTACCAAGAAAAAACAAGGGGGAGGGAGGTCCAACTGAAAACTGTCCTTTAATGACCAAGCAGACAGAGATGCTCTGCCTTTAAGTGAAATACTACACCCAAGGCTACCACTACTCCCTTCCTTGTTCATCCCAGCCCGTTGCTCTATGTGCTTAGAGAAAATAAAACTGTTCACATAAGCACTGTCTCTAATGACAAAAATCTTTTTTGATTTCTAAAAAAAAAAAAAAAAAAAATCCAAAGAGTCAAAGCGTCTTTATCATTTGTCCAGTTTAAATAACTCAAACCTCTCAGCCCCAGAAACTTCAAAAACTAGTGGAATAGAAAATAAGGAGCTATGGAAGAAAGATTCTTTCCTGGATATCCTTACAAGCCAACGAGTATCTAGACAGTATTTTGACTTGGCAGAGAAAAAGATCACAGTCAGACAAGGCTACCTCTTGCTCTCTGACATTTAACTTGATCTTTTATTTTTTTTTCCCACCTTCCATATGTAGACCAAATTCACTCATGAAATTCTAACTAATCAAGCTAACTTCCCTCCCGATTTAAAGATGGAC